CTCCGATGGAGACATGGAAACGCTGCTGCTTTGCAGCTGCGTTACCCTGCTTCCTCGGGCTTGGACCCCTAATAAAATGCAAGGCAGCAGAAAGAAGAAAAAAATCCTACAATATCTGCCCCTTTTTTAAAAAGAAAAATTAATAAACAAATTAACCCTTAAGTAATAAAAAGAAAACAAAACAAAACAACAATAATCCTCATCGAACAAATTATATGAGTACATATTATTCTTTCTCATATTTTTTCAATAAATCTATTTTAATCATTTTCTTAAACAGAAACATTGATCTGGCATTTTTAACAGCACTTTCCAGTTTATTCCATAATCGTATTCCCTGAATTGACGTACATCGTTCCTTCAAAATAAACTTCAAAAAAGCAGCAACTATTTGAAGATGTTCTTCTCTTAGACTGGATTTTCAATGTTTCTGCAGGAGTTGTTCAAAAACATTAGACTCCATGCAATACACAAAGTACCCGATGAAGCAGTTTTGGGCTCAAGTGAGCAAACAGGCATGGTGACGTTTGGACGAATTACACGGGTGAAACAGTTAACGTCAACTGCAGCTGAACCTAAAGTAAAAAGCTGCGTATTAATTTGAAAACTTCCCATGTTCACAGAGTGAATTAACGAGCCAATGCTCAAAAAGAAGAACACACAAATACTCAGAACAAGCTGTGCAGTACAAAGAGAATGTGTGTGGGTGTTTTCTGTGAAAAATGAACCATCTCTTATTTCTCAGATTGGTGAGTAAGGCCCATCGTGAAGTCACAGGGATTATTTGGAGAGAACTTGTCTCAATATTTGACTAGTTTGGAAGGAAAGTCTGCTGAGACTCTGACCGCATGGACACGTTTATGAGTGCATTTATAAATGCATTAAACGAATAAAATGTCATTAATAAAATCTATTTTCTTAGTGAGTCGGAGCACAACCTGCAGAGATTTACAACCCAGGATATTACAAAATAAATTAAATCTAAGGTCAGCAAATCTGAGGGGAAAGTTTCCTTCAGTTACGTACTCTGTTATATACACAAGAACAGCAAATAATGCTTTTATGAGCCACATAATTGTTGCACTAATAAATCTTCTATAATTAATTGATTTCAAGGGTTGGCAAATCTTCAAAGGGACATTTACGAACTTTGTGCAGTGAGATTTGTGAATTTTATGCATTAATTATGCAAATAAAATAAAATAAACATCAAATCGGTAGAGGTATGTCGACACTGGGAAGATAAATTTAACATAAAGTAAGTAATAAATCTGTAGGATATGTGTTAAAAAGACTAACCTGTGCAAATGGGGTCACTATCATGTCTTCTCCATGCCTACAAAAACAGAGATTTTGTGAAAATCTTATATCAGAGAACAGACTGGATTAGAGGATCTTACATGATGTAAAACAAACAAACAAATGACAGAACATGGGACTTTTTAAGAAAGTTGCAGATTTCTGGGATGAAAACAATGGGTAACGGGAAAGTAGGAGAGGATTATATTAGTTACACAAAAAACCCACAACTCTGGAGGAGATATTAGAACATGTTTTACTGCGGGGCTTAAAAAGCAGTGACGGTAACCCAGAACCTGGAACAATATACAGTTCAGGAGCAGCATTCATGCTCTGGGTACAGTTTGAAAGAGTCACAACATGCAGCTCCAGACTTCAAACCATGCCGCTAGGAAAAGGTAAGTCAGCCTGCTGTCCAGCAAACATTTTGATGCTCGGTGCTTCAACATAAAAACAAAATGCTTCTAATAAAAATGTCCAAAAGTGGCAAACGAAACACGGAGGAGGGAGTTTCATTTCCGTCAAAAGCTTGCCGGGACTTTTGTTCCTCGTGTCACATTCAAGTTGAGGTAACGGGGAAACAGAGGGGTGGACAGCGGCAAGCAGGGGTCTCTGCAGTACATAGGGGGAGTTTCTTGGTGTGTGGGCGGAGTTTTCCTAACAATGAGTGGTGGGGTTCTTCAGTGTAGAAGGAGTTTGTCTTAATTGTTATTGGCGGAGTTGTTCTATATGGGGATGGAGTTGGTCCTTAACATAATGGGCAGAGTTCTAAAATATGGGGGTGGAGTTTGTCCTTAACATAATGGGCAGAGTTCTAAAATATGGGGGTGGAGTTTGTCCTTAACATAATGGYRYGAGTTSTWKYATATGGGGGTGGAGTTMGTCCTTAACATAATGGGCYGAGTTCTAAAATATGGGGGTGGAGTTTGTCCTTAACATAATGGATGGAGTTGTTCGATATGGGGGTGGAGTTTGTCCTTTACATAATGGGCGGAGTTGTTCGATATGTGGGTGGGGTTTGTTCTTAACATAATGAGCAGAGTTCTTTGATATGGGGGTGGAGTTTGTCCTTAACATAATGGATGGAGTTCTTCAGTGTGGATGAAGTTTGTCTAACTACGATTCACAGAGTTGTTGTGTGGGCGGATTTTGTCCACACTGTGATTGGTGGAGTTTTTTTGGTGTGGGGGGAGTTTGTCCTAACCTTGATTGGTGGGATTTGGAATAAAGGCGGAGGTTCTTTGGTGGGAGGAGTTTGGTAAAACTGTGATTAGTCGGTTTGACTTGTCTTAAGGGCAAGTTAAAAGGTGAACCAATTATAATAATAAAATTATTGTAAACATAAAAACATAATTTAGTGTCTTCAAATTTCGTGCAGCTAGCATCTTCATGTCTCGAGTTATGACTAAAATTAATATTAATATTTTAAAATACTGGTGCTTCCTGGCTGTTTTGACTGTGCTACCCCTGGCTTCTTCAAATCCCACCCAAAATAGTCAATCCGACCAATCACATTATTGACAAACTCCTCCTACAAAATTCAAATAGACCAATCATGTCTTTGACAAACCCCTCCCACACACCAAGAAACTCCCATTTAGTGACTGCGGAGACCCCCTTCCCAACAGTGGGGACGACCCAAAGAGACAGACAGAAAAAAACAACAACAACACAGCAGTCTTCACAGTGTCTCACCGAGGTAACCAACTGACTTCCCACTGCTTCAATCCTTCCTCCCTTCAAAACAAAGGAGCGACAGCTATTGGTGGTGGAGGCCCCATTTACACTTTGACTGGCTTCAAACAGACTTCTAGCTGCACAGAGAAACCTTTAGCTGCATAAACAGACAGAAACTGGATGCAGAAACAGCCCATTACTTTGCAACAACTCTGCTGCTTTTCACCGCAAGTTCAATCTTTAGCCGTGCTGCCAAAAGACTATTTAAAGCCAGATATCATACATACTTGCAAACAGGACCCTGATGAAGTTATTAAACTCTCTATTGAAAGTACCCCTTCATTTTAAGCTGCAAAAACAAATAAATAAACAAATCCTCTCAGCTGCAGTTTGTAAAAATCCCTGAGAAATACTCACAGGTCGCTGGCAGTGGACGAGTTGCGAGACATGGTTTTGGGCGACAGGTCGAAGTCTGAGTCAGAGCGGTAGAGGAAAGACTCGCGGCGCTGACTGTGGGGGTAGTTGGCCTGCAGAACCAGACCAGAGCCCGGGCTAGCTTGGGAGTCCAGTGGACTGCGACCCACCGATAGGCCATTCTCCACATCAAAACTGCAGAAACACAAAGAGACAAGAAACGATCAAACTAAGCCTTTTTTCTGTTTTTGTAAATGTTTGTGACAAAAAAACATGGATCGAAACAAGAAGTGTAAAATAAAGGGAAAGCCATATGAATAAAAACTAATGAACACAATCTGACATATTTCATCTCATCTGACAAAATCCCTTTTTTAAAAGAAATCTTAAAAAAGATTATTACGTTATTGGAATAACTGGATGCAGACAGTAAAGAGGGTTTAACCATCCTTGTGGAAATTATTGTGACTAATGTTTATTTCAGCATCAACTCAGACTCAGGTAAAGGATTAAATCCTAAATCTGGTTTCAATACACATGATGGTAAAAAATGAAAACACCCTAAAACTAATATTTATCAGGTTATTTTTAAAGAACAGCGTGTAAACGCTGGTTGTGATCCAAAAATCTAGGTGACTGAATTTTTTTAATCTTTATCTGTTAAACAACAACAACTAAAATTGACCATATAATCATCCAGACAAACACATCAACAAATTTTATGCAAAGTTTATTTTAGTTTCTTGCCGTTTGCATTCTGTTAAATCTGAATTATCCATCCATCCATCCATCCATCCATCCATCCATCCATCCATCCATCCATCCATCCATCCATCCATCCATCCACACTGAAAAAACAAACTTTTGGGTGTGGTAACATTTATTTAATTATTCTTTTAAATTTTACAAAAAAATATCAAAATCTCTAAACTACTAGAATTTACTAAATAAACAATATGCATTACATTATATATCAATATTACTGTACAAAAAAGTAAATGCTAATATTATTTTACCAGTAATATGTAAGTGCTTTTTCTGGACAGCACATAAACATGAATATATTAAGTAACTTCTACTCTTCTGAGCTCAAACTGAGGGCGCATGTGCACACAAAGGCTGCTGCTCCTCATTCCCTTGCTTCACTTTTCAAGGAGAGGACAAGACATGGTCGAAATAAAACAAAAGTTGTCTGGTTTCTTTTGCTTGAAAAAATTTGTTGGTGTGCAATAGTTTGATGGCATAATGTAGGTGATATTTAGTTGTCAGGAAACAGGGAATGCATATCGTAGCATTCTGCTGTGTTTGGCTGTGGATAGGATTCATGTTTGTTGTTGAAAAATCATTTTAGGGAATTGGTTAATATTGTTCTTTCAGCAATTAGTCTGTTGTGTTACTCTAATTTGTGTGTTCATTATTTGTTAACTTGTGTTAAACCATTCAGCAGAAGTAACCATAAGTGAGAGTGGTAGGCCTAGTCATTAATAAGACCTGTGAGTTTCACTTTGTCTGTTTTGTTCATGAAGAAGAATCCAATAAAGGTTGTTCAAAACCACCACCTGGTGTTGAACAACAACATGAGCCACACACCTCTCTCTGTAGCTGTGAGGTGTCATTCTACAATATTGTGCTTGACGCATGTGCACTGTTGTCCTGATGCATCTCAGTAATCCAGGTAAAAAATCAAAAAGAAAAAAAATTGTATAGGTCTTCTGGACGGGTTCTTCTCTAATGAAACGTTTCGTCTCTACTCCAAGAGATCGGGGAAACAAAGCAGCCACTGTTCAAAAGAATGTCCCAACACAGACGAGCTACATCTAATGGCCAGAACTCTGCAYTTTTCACTCATTTACAGGCCAGCGGTCACTCTTTCTGAGATGAGGATGTTCTCATTCTTGATAGAGAGGAACGTTGGTTTGAGAGAGGAGTAAAAGAAGCCATTTTTGTGAAGAAAGACCGTCCATCATTAATCAGAGGTGGAGGCCTCCGTTTTCAGTTGTCCCCCTCCTACAGTGCGGCTATTGCTAGTATCACTCCAACACCTGTTAACAATAGGTGTTAATTAGGTGTCAACGATAGCCATGTGATGTGAGTATCAGTAACATGGAGGCAGTGCTTAAAAGCCTGAATTTTGCCTGAAACTCTCAGACTGAAGAAGTCTCTTGGAGGAGAGACGAAATGTTTCATTAGAGAAGAACCGTCCAGAGGACCTATACAATTTTTTTCGTCATGTGCACTGGTATAAAGAACTTGTAAGATTTACTTGAAAAAATCCTCATAACAACTTGCACTTACTTTTGTTAAGTAAATTTAAATGCTACAAATTCATGTAATATTTACTCATCATTATCTAGTAAATGCTTTTAAGAATATTAAAGATTTGTGAACAAATCAGTTAAATTTTACTTAATTTGATCAAGTATTTGTTACAAGATTTAATTGAGCAAATTAAGTAAAATTTACTTGATTTATTCACAAATCTTTAACTATATTCTTAATAACTTTTACTAGATAATGATGAGTAAATATTAAATGAATTTGTAGCATTTACATTTACTTAACAAACGTTAATGCAAATTGTTAGGAGGATTTTTTCAAGTAAATCTTACAAGTTATTTTTTAGTGTACCTACCTACCTACCTACCTACCTATCCATCCATCCATCCATCCATCCATCCATCCATCCACCCCCCACCATGTCAGTGTTATTTTTGGAGAACACTAGGGTAAAGCTGATCTAACAGTATAGAAAATTTGAACATTTGAGTGTTTAAAAAAACACAACATAAAAATAAGTTACGAAAATCAGGTTCAAAAGCTTCACAATCCTTGTAACAATATATATTTTGAATTACCCTAAATGCAGAAGAAATAAGGAGGAGGATGAAAGAGTTAAATAGGAAAAAGTAGAATCATTACAGAAACCTGCACAGCTCGGCCGAATGTCCACAAACAACCAGCGCTCGCAGCCACGTCTGTTAGCAGGACGGGTCACCTTGTGATTACAGGCTTTTCACAATCAACCCGATGCTTGCGCACAACTCACTCTCAGCTATCTTTAATGACGTCAGCACAGGCATGTTACATCACTTCAGTCACCTTTAACCTTCCCTCCATTCATGCCATCGACCCATCAAGCACACTCAGGTATTTCCAAAAACCGACAGATGGATGAAGTTCTAAAAAACACATTTTATCTGTAGGTTCATAAAAAAGTTTTAAAAAGTTTTTATTGATTCTGTCCAGCATCATCACAACTATGTTTGGCCTCAATAAAATCCTGCTGAATTATTTCCATCAAGATGAGGTCAGACTCTAAACTGCACTCGCCAAACTGTGCCTTGCTCAAGGACACACAGCCTCGATTAATCTGTGCAGCCAGTTATTGATTCCACCGTTGGGTTTTAAACGGTTGCCCTCTTTTAACCTAATTTTCCCACATTTTATTTTAGAAGCGACATGTGACTTTTTTTCCAGCCTCGTGATAAATTATTAGATCGTCAAGTGTTTTTCTCAGGTACATTTCAGTCAATGGTGGCTCCCCTCCTTCCCTCGCTCGTATCAATAGAAAAAAAAKAAACAAACAGAGCAGCAAGGTTGCCTCTCTGTCTATTTTTAGCTCTGCCTCCTGGGCTCTGCCAGTAATAGCTCAGATAAATGAAAGATGGTTATTATGCAACTGATCCTGAATGAAACGGGCCTGGTTCACAGGAGCGCAGACTGAGAGATGCGGAGGAGGAGGAGGAGGAGGAGGAGGAGGAAGGCTGCATCCAGCACTGTGATGTGTCGAGTAACCTGCACCTGATTGGTGCGACAGGATGGAGAGGGGGCAGGGCTACAGCAGCAGGGTTTACCTCAATGATAACACACACACACACACACACACACACACACACACACTGCGCTGTTCAGCCCCGCCAGCTCGGTGTAGTCGGGCGTGACGAGGCTCAGAGGAGCCCAGTGACGTCAGAAGCTATAAATAGATCTGCCTGACAGGAAAGAGGTGAACTGAGAGGCTCGTGGTGGTGCTTACGTAGGCKCCCCCCCCCCACTCTGCCCCCTTCTCCTCTCAGGTTGCAGCTTTTTTTTCTCTCCTCCACATTTTTATTTTCACGAGAGCATCTATTTTTAGCTTCTACAAGGTAACTCCTCATGAGGCAAAGGTCTCTTCCCCCACATCTTTGCACTATATTTATATACACATAATTCATTTTTCTCCTCCATTCAGATGAATATTTGGGTTAGAACCTACAGAACGGGCAGATTTTCTTTTAGAGAATCAGACATTTTAAAAACCACGAGGCTGACATGATTAAAATAACCTTCATCTTGTCAGAAAAACAGGACACCTCAGATGTTTAAATCTCTTTTAGAAGAGTTCACTGACCAAGGCTGAAACAGCTTTCTGCCTTGGTCAGGTGTTGATCATCACACATAAATATTTTTAAGTCAATCAAGCACAAATGAACAACAGAATCATACACCTATTCATAAAATTATTGATTGCAAAAGAGAGCCTTATATATTCAAACATGAAAACAGGACCCTGGATGGGCACTCATGGTCTTTGTGGGCCGCTATGCTGCATGTTTTCCTTGTTTCTTTGCTTCAACACACCTGTTTCAATAACCAAATTATCTTTTCATGTTCTGCAGAAGCCTGCTAATTGGTTCAAATCAGGTGCGTTAGAGCAGAGAAACAAGTAAAACATGCAGGACAGTGGCCCTCGAGGACCAGTAGTGCCCATCCTTGTTCCAAAACCAGGTTGGGTTTATAAATAAATAAAGAGTAGTGGAGGAGCCTTCACATCATTTTTGTTTATAAAAATGGGGTCAGAGTTTCATCGTTTGGTTCAGTTTTCCAGACTTGGTTCTGAGGTTAAAGGCTGCAGGTTAAGTTGCACAAATCAAACTGAGAATCAACAGATATTTTCAGCTGCTGCACAGAACCAGATTTTGTCTGTTTGCCAAAATAGTGAACTGGCTTTAAACAGAGTCACAGCGCCCACTTCTGAGGAATATAAGGCATTGCAGCAATCCTTGATATGTTTTTTTAATGCACCGTGCAAACGTTGTCTAACGCTCTCCTCTTACACTTCACTGCACAAAAATCTAATTTTTTAAATTATTATTCAATATCTGCTAATTTTGTGTTTAAGCTTTTGTTTTGCTTCAATTAAAGCATCAGTGCATTGA